GGTAGTGGAGTCCCACCACCGGAACGTGGGTCTACTGTTTCGCTTGACTTGGGTACACTCAAATGGAAGCCAGGTATACCTGAAGAGAACTCAGACCTTGTGGAGTCGATCAATTCGCTTGGAACTAGGTAACTACTGGAAATACAGCTGGATCAATGATAAATATCTGTATTTGATCTGAATATTTAGAATATTTTTTGACTTCTGCCGTGATGAGTTCTGGGCCAATCAAGTTCAGCAGAAAATCCAGAACAAATTGGCCACTATTCATGTGAGTACATAAAAAGCATGATTTTATAGCTCTGTTGTATCATTGATTATAATTCTCTTCAGCTTCCATATTTTATTGAGAAGTTGGAATTGTCTTCGCTCACATTGGGGTCAACTGCGCCGCGTATTGTAGGTGTTTATGCACCGATATTAAACGAATGGGGAATATGGGTTGATCTAGAGGTGAATTTATTGTCTCACAAACAAATTCGCATCATTTTTTAATTTTTCTCATTCTTAAATGTGCTGAAGCATAAGTACGACGTCTGTTTCCATCATTTGAAGTCCTAGCACTCAACATTCATTCGCGTATCCTAATTTTTCCTAGAGCCTAAAATAGCGTCTACATAATGTTCGAAATGAATGTGACTGTTTGAGCATTGATATTTTCTATACTTCCAATCAGAGTCGCTTGAAACTCCATACACAATATCGTAATGAAGAGGCTCGAGATCCGTTATGAGTGGAATAGTTTTAAATTAGCATTACAAACCATTAAGGTGAAATTAAAAGCAGTTATTGATCAAACAGATCACAATGGGACATCCTATATTTTCAATGATTCAGATGAAGTATGGCGGCGGTATTCGGTTAGTGCTCCAAACAAGCGTAAACCTGGTGAAACTTCAGGGCGGTGCTACTAAAGTAGGCCTATTGAGTGCTCTTTTTAGAATAGCTTGACTTATTTATTTTGCTAAGGTGGAAGCCGCGCGAAAACTGTCGCGTATCACAGATGCCATGGCAAGAAATCCTTCACGATACTCTGACGAAGACTTGCCGGAGAGTCCTGAAAGTAGTCCTGATGAGGATTTTGGAGCTAAAAATAATCCTGAGGAGTATGTTTAAATTTCTGAAAAACCAATGCATATTGTAATGCTGTGAGCAGTTTCATTCTATCAAATCTAGAACCACTGTTCGGGAGAAAACGGGAAAGAAAATTATTTCAATGGTGGAACGGGCTGCACAAAGCACAATTTTCCAAAAAGCGGCTAAATTACCAAGAGTGGCTAAGGTACGTCATACGTTGTTAGGTTGTCTCAACTGTTGAGTATTTTCTGTAACAGGCTGCAGTTTTATTTCTTTACCTATTAGCTTGTTTTCAGCTCATTGAGGATGTTTCATCAACACCG